GGAAGGCCAGCCGTTTGTTGCCACCGGCCACACACGCTGCCTCGCCGGGCCCTCTCTGACGCCCGCCCTCCGCGGGGCCCAAATTACCGCTTCCCAGGAGGAGATGCTGGCCGGCCGGCCCAGGCAGCCAAGCAGAGGGCAGGGCCAAGGCCCGCTTGCCTTCGGCCGGGCAAGAAAGTTTCCGCAGGGCTGTTAAAAAAAAAAAAAAAACTAACATGTGACAAAGGCCCGGGAAAAAATGCACGCTTTTAGAGACTGAATTTTAACACGCAAGTAAAATTCTTGAGTTTAATATTGACTTAAGCATGGAAGGGTAAACTAATTTAAATGTGCCTCCGCGTTAGTTTAAACATCGATTCACCTCAAACGGGGTAAGTGCCTCGCCGCTTGCAGGCGCTAAACGAGCGCACGCGCCGAGCCACACCTGCACCGCCATTGCACCTACACATCTGCCGCGGCAACAGCTCGTGTCCGTGTGGCGTGCATGCGTGTGTGTGTGTGCGTGTGCGGGCACACCGTGTCGTATTCAATGTCGCTCTGCTACATGTGTATGTGGGCTCATCAATGATCGAGCATCAAGGGGAATAAAAAGGCACCCTGAAGAAAATGTCTACTTAAATCCAAGCGCTCTGGGGAAGAAATAATTTGTGGTATGAGTTGTGCCGAGATGAAAACCGTGCGCGCTCCTCTAAAACAAATCCCGCCGCAGCCCTACCCTACGCAGGCATTGGCTGTCTGAGCCCTCAGCCAAACATACACAAGCCGAGCACAGAGTACACAGACGAAGTCCATCCCACAAGACCGCACCAATCCTGGCTAACATCCTTCCACTCTCCAGATCCTCGAGTGTGGTGGCTGCGGTCTGCGGCTGGAGCCTCAGAGTCCAAAACAACCAGCTAGAGTCAGCAACGTTCCACGATAAAAAGTTTTTAAAAGTTCTAACAAAAATACAGGAGTAGGACCTTTATTCAAAATTTTTAAAAATCACTGCCAAAAAAATTAAAACTGGAGTCCAACCAAAGCAAGCAAGCAAGCACGCCAGAAAACAAAAAGTTGCGTCCGAGCAGGCTAATAAGGGACTCGGAGGAAGACCGTTTTCCTCGTTCCATAATTCATGCCGCTTTACGGACGGCCCCCTGCCAACTCGGCCGCGCGGCCAGCCGAAGGGGAGGCCAGTGTGGCTGTCCCGCCAGTGTGGCTGCCAGTTTGGCCGCCAGTTTGGCTGCCAGTTTGGCTCAGGACGCATAGGAACAGTCTCATTTCCAGATTGGGCCGGGCCACGGCGGCCGCACGGCCACGACGGCCACGGCGGCCACACGGTTGGCTCGCTGCAGACTGATTCCAGCGAGCGCTTTTGTGGCTGTGCCTCTGTCTCACTCACTCATACGTGACGCCGCGTGAGAGAAAGAGAGACGACAACACTCTTTATTCGGCAGCAGCCCGCAGCGGCCCCGTCGCCGTCACGCGAGCGTGGCGCTCATACGGCGCAAGCACGCTCCGGGCCGGGTTAGACTGACTGCCAGATTTGGCCGGAGGAGCAGTGGTGTCGGGGGATTTATCGCTCGTGTTCGGTCAGCGGGAAAAGGGCGAGAATGCCACAGCCAAAACAAATTGAATCAGTCTAAAACTAAAAAATTAAACAAATTTTTCAAACCCTCGTTATTTCTTTGCTCCTCACTTTTTCTTTTAAATTTTCATGACTTTTTTTTCCGTCCCCCCACGATAATCTAATTTTCCCAATAAGATTTGAAACAAACCGGTTAGGGTTATCTGTTGCTTTTTCAATGTGTACAGCAGAGCCGTGCGACTTCGCAGAATGCGTGACTCTGGTGTCGAAGTGTAAAATCGTCAGCCGGATGACGGAGTGTCCATCGCGTATGCAAATAAAGCGGCGTCGCGTCCGCCGCGCCTACGCGGTGCGGCGCCGACAAGATGATTACAAACAAGACAGCGGCATCCACCTGTCGAGGGAAAATGACGCAACGTGACAGCTTCATCTGGGAAGCCCCTAAGGAAACAGGAATAGAGAAAAAAAAAGCAAGATTGCTGCTTCAGTAATTTGAGCATGAAGACAAACTGTTGAGTTTGTTAATTTTTTTTCAAACTTATGTACAGTCAAAATATTTTAAAGAAAAAATTATTAATTTTGAAAAATTAAAAAAAGTCTGTTAGATTAGGAAAGCAAAAGTACGAAAGTCGGAGACGTTCTGCTTCAAACTGGCGCGCCGTGCGTTGAAGTCTCCTCGGTGCGGCATCGCAAACTGTAAGCAAGCCTCGCAGATAATCAATTCTGCATTTCCCTAGGGCTTTAAATTCCGACATGCAAAGGTGCAACCGAATGCGCGAGCTCACACCGACACACACTGCACTCACACACACGCACGGGCGGCCATACATCACTCGCACGATGCATGGCGCGCACGCACGCCCAGTCCCAGGCGGGTCGCGGGGTGGGTTCTACTCGTGTCGCACCACTCCAAGGAAAAATGCAGGGTGGCGGGGAAAACAATTACAAACCGGCCCGCGCTCCAGATATTTATTTTCTCGAGAACCGCTTTATGATTGGTCTATTTGGTTACTATAACCGACGCATCGTAAACCGACGCGGCATCGTGAGAAAAAGGGCGGCGTAGTGGTGCATGCCGTTGCTCGCTGGAGAACGGGAACTAATTTTTTATTGGAGAGGAAAAAAGAAAATAGTTTGACGCGGCCCGTAAACCGGCGGACAGCGTATCAAAACATGCCGGCCAACGGTGCGGCGGCAGAAAGGCAAAAACAACGAGTGCACACAACAACGGCACCGCACTGCACCGCGCCCAAACACGGACACTTTTTCTGCCACCCCCGCGTCGCCCTCGCTGCGGTACTGTTACAATTTTTTTTCCTTGTCTTTCCCCGCTCTTGGAAATTATACCGTACCGATTTTTTCTATCGGAAAGCGAGTTGTTGTCCCGTTAGTGGCAAGAAGGGGCTGCGGGTCTGCGCGCAGGATGGCCCGGCTCGGACTTCAGTGCTCTGAGAGGTCCTTCCCGGTGAGGTTCCTGGCGTTCCTATGCTGCCGTGCGCGGACAAGCAGTGCGTGGAGACGGACAGCGGGCGGCGAAAACGGAAACGTTAGTTCGGTTGAATTTGGGCTTTTCTGGACCTTTTGAGCCAGCGGTCTGACTGCGTTCGTTTCAATTCGGACCTTTCCATCGACCACGAACAGAGAGTGGAACACCGCCGCAGGACTTTCCCCGGAGCAGAGTCGCGGTGGAATACGGAAGCCCATCGAGGTAAGAGCACGCCGATCGCTTCGACAGAGTTGTTGTTGGGACGCCGCGGCAGGTTTCTAGGCGTAACTCAGATAGCGCAGAGGCCGCCAGAGCGCGCTGCTATCGCGGAATGGAACCATCACTGCCTTGCCTGGGGCCGCGAGCCGCCACTGTGTGGTCAAAGCAGCTAGAAATTTGAAAAATCGATGAAAACTCATAGAAATTGTTTTGAAATCATCCTTTCATTCCTTGCGATTGCTCAAAAGTAATTTAAAACAATCTTCATCTTAAATTGAAAGATTTAAACTTTTTGAAAAAGGTTTTTTTGTGGTCTTCGCAAGATGGCGCTTAAGCTCGTTCACAAGTCATCAGTGTGTCAAAACACTGGCATTCAACTTCTCGACATGAGGTAATGCCTGCCTGTCGAACCGACTCTGGCTCACACAGTGTTGATTAGAACGAAAGCTTCGGGATAATTATTAACATTTAGAGGGTGCCCGCCTTTTCCTGGCTTCGGTCTCTTGGGATTTTTTTCCCCATCTGCTTGCGCTGCCATGCAATGCCAGGGCCGGGCTGCTTGATGGTGTTGGCCACCAACCGCCATGGACAGAAACCAGACGCACGCACAGCCTCCATCTTCCACGCGCGCACTGCACGAGCGCCCTCCCACAGCCCGGCCAGCCCGGCCAGACCACCCCAAAACACAAACTGTGGTCTCGCGTCTCACAAACAAAACTCGGAGGCGGATCGCACGGGCCGCCATGTTGGGTCAGAGGCCAGCACGCCAACAGTGTGGCGACCTTCTAATTAAGGCCGGCCCCGGCCGCGCCGGGCGCCCAGCGGGGGGCCGCGGGTTAATCTGGCCGGGGTCGCCTCCGGGTCGCCACCCCACCGCGCCGCCGCGGACGCACCCCGCCGGAGGTGCAAGATGGCAGGGGGTGTCTGTCGACTCGCGCACTTTAAACCGCCCCATTGTGGCTTCAAAGCAGCACTCCGCGCCACTTTGCAGCACTCCGGGCTGAATCGAGTGTCTAATGGGGCCGTGATGACTGCAGGAATGCCTGGCGACGCCGACGGCGTCCTCGGGGTGCGCGGGGGTTGGCGGCGGGGGGTCCGAGTCCTTCCGCATGCTGCCCACCATCACGGAGGGCTCCGGCCGGATGAGGGTCCGATAAGCGGGGATAAAACCAAGAAAGGCACCGGCCCGCCAAACTGGGGATCAGGCGCCTGGGCCAGAAGCGCGGGCGGCTGAGCTGGCGGCGAGGTGCGAGTCGCTAAGTCCGACGTGTGCCCACCAATGGCACGGAGGGCCTCGGGCACACGCGGTTGGTCCCATAGCGGGGACTCAAAACGCAGAAAGGCCGCCACGCTTGGGCGCGGGGCCAGCGGCGTAGCCGGGAGGGGCGGCCCGCGGTACCCGCCACTGCCGAGCCACCGGTCATCACGACGGCGGGCGCGCCAACGGTGCGGGGATAAAAGGCAGGCAGCAGCACAGGTGCCTTGCTGCCGTCCACCCCGAGTGCCGGGGCCCCGGAAATTCGATCAGGCCCGAATGGGCTCCACGTGTGCGACATGGGAACGGCCCCGGAGCAGCGAGACCCGCGCGCCCAGCGAGACTTTCGGGAGAGACGGTTATCCCGGCAGCGCGCTATGACCCGTGGAGCCTTGATAGGGGAGGGCGAGTGGACGCCTGCCGGGCGGGGCGGGGCGGGGCCGCGCGGAAGGGACGACGATGACGTCACTCACCTTGGCGCTGGCGGCGAAGCCAGCCGGCGATGATAGGGCGCCCGAAGTATCCAAAATTCGGCGGAGTGTTTGTGTATCCATATCCAATTCTGCAACAGAAAAAAGAAACGCAAATGAGTCTTGTGAGGCACACCGCCTGCGAAGTGCCGGGTAGGCAACCCTACGCACGCGAGTGTTGCGGATTGCCGCCTCGGTGAAGTCCACTCTTTACGACCTTGAGACGTGGCCAGGCTGCCCCTCGCCGCGCCCACGGCCTGCATGTGCACGCCGCGGCACGCCGGCGCTCCTGCGTCCTCTTCCGCAGTAGTCGCGACCAAAACTGGGCCTCCTCCCCGGCCTGCCGATACACCCACGGCCGAAAGAAAGTTCTAAACCGGCAGGAATGTGCGGCAGCAGGCGGCCAGGGGCTTTGATGCGCGCATTCCCGTGTGGCTCTTTTATTGAGTCTGTTCGCAGCGAACCCAATCACACACACACGGGCCACTGCACACACACAGAGCACGCTACCGAGATCCATAATCATACGAACCCCTTCCCCGCGCCAACCCGCCAGCCCCAGGAGGCCCCGGCCAGGGCTAGGAAGGGCTAGTACTGCGCAGTGGCGACGGAAAGGGTGCCCGTGAGTGCGTGTATGCGTGAGTGTGCGCGCGCGTTGCTCCAAGATGGCGCCGAGGAGCCCCTCCGGTTATGAGCAAAGGCTCTTAGAGGGTGCAGAGAGCTGGCCGGCAGGCTAATGCGTGCGTAAAGCGCGGCGCTAGCCGGCGACACGCGGCGAGGACCGAGTAAAGAGGCATTGGTGATCCCGACAAGGACGGCGTTGCTTGACGGCCTGCTCCGAGGCCTTGACGGCCACCGCCGCGCGCTGCCGCGTTACAGGCCACACTTCGCGGAGGACACCTGCGCACCTTGCGCGCTGCCGCTAGGGCCGCCAGTGGCGCTGCCGGCGCTGCCCAGCAGCACACATTTTGCCTCGTTTCGGCGGGGGCCGCCGTTTTGCAGGGGCCGCGGTGGGTTTATGGTGCTGCAGGGCCCCAGGTGGGGCTCTCGCGCAGAAAGCACCAAATTCTTTTTCTCCCCCGCGCCCTCTCTCTCCCTTCCCCTCCCCGCCCGTCGAACTGGACCTTCGAATCACGAACACTTACCCCCCGCTGATCCGCACCCTCGACAACGGCAGCGCCCCGTCGGCCCCGCCGGCCCCCATCGGCCAGCGCCATCAAAGATTGAGACGCTGCAGACCTCCACCCCGCCCTGCAGCACCGCGTCATCGGCCTGCCCGGTGCAGCCCGCTAGCGCCCCAGGGGCCTCTGCCCCGTCTCTCTCGCCCCCAGTCCGGACGCCCCACGTGAGCGAGAGAGACAGTGCGCTGGCCGCGCGGCTTACGGCCACCTTGTTAATTATGCATCCCCCGCGTATACAGCCAAGATGGCGGCAAATCCGCGCCCCGGAGGCCCTGGAGGCCCTGGAGGCCTCGGAGGCCCGAGAGGGCCCGGCAGGTGGACGCCAGATGAAGTCATTCCCCGCCAATCATAAGGACAGCCAGATGGGCCGTCGGGCGGCCACCGTAAAAGCAGCCAGGCGCGAATCTGGTTGCAGAATCAATTTGGCGGAGAGGCCGCCTTGTTTTGTTATGAATATCGGACGGGTTTGCCACACTGTATTCACACTGTAGGGGTGGGGGTGGCGGCGGCTCGGCACCAAGTCGTCTAGAAGCATGGCTGCCGTCCAGGCGACACATAAATTAGACTTTTATCCATCCGGGCGGCCTCTTTCAAGTCGCCGGCGCGTCCGCGGTGGCGGGCGGCCCGGCGCAGCGCGACGCAGCGCGAGCACGGAGGACGCCAAACGTGACGAAACTATAAGCAAATGGAGGCCCGAGATCACACCGCCGGGGCGGCGCGGCAGCAGTAAAACAAAGAGGAACGCTACCGGCTTGAAACTTTTCTATTTTTCATCCTGTTCTGTGAAAAGAGTTACTTTGTAGCGGGGCAGCGTCGACAAATTATGATTTCCTGTTGGTCTATTTATTGCCCTTTTCCAACCCGTTGCGCTTGCGAGCTTTTTGTAAAACTCCGATCGCCTCGCGTCCGATTTCCATGGCTTTGCATACCGACTGCAGCAGGGAAACACGTGTGTAACATTTCCGCTGATACCATCACAGACGGGCGCAACGGTGTCCATCTTCATAACTCGACCATTCCCCTCTCGGCCACCGCGGTGGCCTTACGGTGGCCTGGCCGAGGGCCTGGCCGCCCGGCCGGCGTGCCCCTTGGGGGGGAACGAGACTCGGCCCGTCCACCGATTCGGTATGGGGGCCTCAGCATCGCCCCGGGCGCATTCCCGCCCAAATCAGCCACTTTGCATTATTTTCCTGCAGGTGGTTTGAATACTCGCAGGCAGAACCTGGCAGCGAGCCGCGCTTCCCGGATGCCCCCCCAAAACAATGAGCGACTCTCCGTGAGATTATTAAATATTCCCGGCCAAAAGTGCCACGCGTAAAGCGTCATCGCAGGAAGCCCCTAAAAAGGAGCCTTGGCGAAACATTTTACGCAGATTGTCCCTGTTACGGCTTTCTGCATAAGCAATAACGCGCCAAAATGTTGCTCGCGCGGACCCGTCCGTCCATACCGATCGACACCGGTGCAGGTGTATTTCGGACCGGGCCCACCGACAGGAAATGAAAACCCAACTGGGGCGGGGACGTCAATCAAAAATCGAACAAAAAAAAGAATCAGGCACTTTTTTGTTATTTTTTTTTCCTGGTGTTGAAAATTGGGAAAGGTGGTAGCTGTGCCAAGAGGGTCCGTGGGGGTGGCCTCCCGGCGGCCCCGTGGCCCTGAAGGCCCCGGCAGGGGAGGGCTGCCGTTTGGAGCAAAGCGCTCAGAAGATTGGGCCAGCCTGACTGACCATCAGCTGGGATGGCTGTCCCTCTTGCCGGAACATTTCCGAACAAAGTCTCTCTCTGTACTGCCCTAGCTTTACGGCGGGCTTATCCCGAAGGACGCCATTTTTGTTTCTTCCCTTTTCGAACTTTACTTTTTCCACGCTGTGTGCACTCTGCCAGCTCGGTTCTGGCAGCGCAGCGGCTGGAGTTCTGTTATATTCCGAGGAACAGGACCGGGTCGCCTTGAAAAGGCGCGCACGGAACACAATCAAACCTGCCCGATAAGAAGCAGTGCATCCCCCAGAGCGGCGCGACAATGCCGGGCGCAGCCGGGCGCCCCAGAGAGCCAGAATGCCGCAACGGGACCGGGGAAGGGTGGCCCGCCGGCCTGCTCACTATTCATGATGCAAGGACGCTGCCAGTTTTTGCCCTTCTGCAGCACCGAGGGGCCGCGCCGAAACTTCCAACGGCAGGGGGACCGGCCTCGAACTCCACTTAGAGGTGACTGGTCGCGGTTCGCATTTAACCGCCATCCCCGTTCAGCGAAAAATTTGACAAAAAAACAAAATTTTTTTTCCTTTTAGAGGGTTTGTTTCTGCCAAGTCTGCGGCGCCCAGCGACAGCCAGTGCAGGCCCCAGCGCCCCAGCAGCCGCCCTTTCTGCCACGGGTCGGTTTCTTTTCCCCGAAATGGGGCACGCTGGCCGGCACTGGCTGCGGCCCTGGCTGGGTTCGCTGGGAGGGCCCTTCTGCAGGCAGCAGGCTGTGTGTAAATGAACCCCACGAAATGACACAATATTCCCACCCCCGGAGCCACCCCTTTGCCGCTCCCCTTTTGCCCTTCACGAATATATAAAGTTCACGAGCCCATGACGAGGGGAGCGGGGCGGAGGCGGAGCGGGCAAGGAGGGCCGCGCAGATACGGACTAGAAACTTTAAAAACTGCATATCATTCACGCGGGGAAATTCCAAACAATTTTGAGAGATTTTTTTTCCCTCAAAGAAAATGGGGAACAATTTTGCTCGCCGCGGGCACGTCTGGGCGGAAGGGTCTTAGGGCGTATCAGCACCTCCCCCTCCCCTGCTACCAATCTCGCAGAAAGCTTGAAAGCGGACTCACACAGACACACTCTCTCACACACACAACCACAAAACAACAAGTCCGCTGGCAGTAGCCAAGTTGGAGCGGCAAGTCCGGGGAGTTCCAGCTACGCCGAGTTTTGCTCCGCTGTGCGGCAGTAAGAAGAAAACCAAGTAGACCCGGTCGGTGCGAGTGTCCTCCTCCTTCTTCTTCTTCTTACTTTCGCGGAGTTGGCTGCGAGCACCGACAGGACTCGAACCTTGCGAATGGTGTGACCCGAAGTTGGACTCCATATTAAAAACGGTAATTAAAAGGGAGTACGGAAGGCGTCGACTGGGGCGTTTCGCGCGCGTGGCTCGACCCCGCGAGTTGACCTTTCCCGTTCAGCGACTTGGCGGCGGGTTGGCGAATCGGCGGGGAGCTGTCGGATCAGCAACAAAGTAGGACGAATAAAGCGCGGGATTTGGCGAGGAAAAATAAAGGGAATTAGAGCTGTCCACCAACTCGACGTACTCGCAAGGCCAAACACGGAGCCATTCACGTCCGCGTTGCCGTCTCTCTCTCTCTCTCTCTCTCTCTCTCTCTCTCTCTCTCTCTCTCTCTCTCTCTCTCTCTCCTGCAGGGGGCAGAGGGGGGTGGAGGGAGAGAAAGAGGGGGCTCCATTTTAATCCGAGCGTCCAGAAGGCCCTAGCGCTGTCCGTCCCGTGGCGTAATCAAGCTTCCCGAATTTGGTTTTAGATGTGAAAGGGATGTCACCAGCTGGCATGGCGCGGCGAGCAGTGTAGTATGCAAATGGAAGGAAAAAACGGGGATGGAGATGTGATGAAGAGCTGGGGGAAAAAGGGGGGGGGGGCTCCAGGCGGATGGCCGTGTTTAGATGGCGGCGATCGGCCCCCTGGGAGAAGCAGTGCGTCTGACTCTGAGAATGTGTGCGTGAGTGCGTGCGTGTGCCGCTGCTGCATTTGCCTTGCGCTCAGGTCTCCCGAGAGATTGGAAATAAGTGAGCTTTCAATAACGGACGTATTTTATTTTCATATCAGCGCCGTGCCGGCGGAAATGGCATGCGTGCATCACGCACAGTGTCCCTGATGCTGATTGAAAGGGCGAACCTGGCAAAGACGTTTGCTGCCTTCTTTTTGTTTCGCTTGTTGTTTTTGTTGTTTCATTGAGGTCACTCGGGGTGCGCGGGGGCGGGGCCGGGCGGGGCGTCCACTTCGCCGAAAGGGATATCCATCACGTGACCCAGGCTCGCCCCGCCGCGCCGCTCCCGGAGAACAGAGCCCCATAAAGTTCGGACCACACCGCCGGCCGGCCAGTGCCGGCCAGCACAAGCCGCTGCGGGTTGCCTACCTCGAACGAGCCTCGTGTGGGTGATGGCCGCCGGTCGGCCGAAGGGGCGGGGTATTAATTCAAGGAGGGAATAAAGGGACCGGCAAAGCTTTTCCCAAATGAACTGTGCTTCATTCAATTTACGCTGATTTTCTTCTTCGTTTTGTTTTTTTGCAGATGCGCGTGAAAAATGCACCCCTTTGAATGGAGGACCACCATTAGACGCCCGGCTCCAGAGGGGCCAACACCAAGGCCTCCCCGCAAATGAGGTACGGGGTTAATGGGGGTGGGGGCCGCTCTGGGGACGGGGAGGGTGGGGTCAAGGAGGGGTGGGGGTTAGTATGGTCTGCAGTATAGTGCCATACTTGCGTATCCCTGGCCAGGCCTTCTTCTGCGACCCCCGCACACACACACTCACACATACACACAACACACGCACACACACACGCAGTGGGCTGCTGGAGCTTGCTGTCCGTCCGCGCACCGGGCGAGGGAATTTACGGGTAAGGGGGCAGCAGCAGAAATATGGGCCCAGTAAAACAGAGGCCACGTATTACATTTGTGCCCGGGGAATATAGTTTTTGTTTCCCCGGGGGTCACATGCCGACAATACACATGGCGGCCGGCCATCTCTCTCTGCGGTCCGTCCTCGCATGGCCCGTAGTATCGCTTTCAGTGGAATGAGAAAAAGAAGCCAGAAATGCTTTACTTTCTTTTTCGCGCGGCTCTCTGCGGGAGCAGGAAATTGATTTTCAGCCGCTGGTTTGTGGCGGCTGTCGACAAGGTGTCTCGCCACAGGGACATTTTGTTTCAATTTCAATCCGGCGGGTGTTTTGTTGATGTTGTTTCTGCCCCCGCTGCTTGGCAAAATTTATACAGGCCGGCTGGTATGCACCGCCATGCCCCCGCCCTTCGTGCCGGCCGCGCCGGCCGCGCTCGTGATGGGGAGGGCGAGCGGGCTCATTTCCTGGTCCTGAGAGGAAGGGGACGGGGTGGCCTGCAATATTTACCTCGGCGCCCTACACTGTCACAGTGTAGTGTATCAGGCGAGTCCATCCGAAAAGTTGGGCGATATACTCGCGGTGCTGTGCCCCTTCGACGGCGAGCTTACGCCACTCCCCCACCACCTTTCCCTGCCCTGTGCAGGGCTGGAAAAGGGCCCCGTAAACACAAAGGGAAAAGTTGGGCAGAAGACCTCGGCTAGGGCGGCAATCCGGCGCCAAATAAGGCGCGGGGCGTGAGAAAATATGGAGGCATTGCCCGCGCCGCCGACAAAGTTGCAGCGCCAGTGCACCGCACTGATTTGATTGTGTTTACAGTGAGTCGAACCTCATCACTGTTTATGGAAAGGAGCGCGCCGCCATGGCGGACTGGGTGCGGCTTATCACGGGCCGGGCGGCGCAGCGAGGGCTGCGGGGTGAACAAGGGTACACACACTGCAGTGAGCACCACTCCCTCAGGAAGCGAGGGGCACGCGCGGCGAGGAGAGATCCAGCCCAGAAATACCGCGCCTCAACAAAAATTGAAAACAAGCTAAATTTAAACTCAATGTTGTATTTTTCTGTGTAGTTTATGACGGTATCTACCCGGAGGATGCTGCCGGAACCGTTAACTTTTTTGTTTCTTTTATTTTTGTTTTGTTTATAGAGTTTTTTTTTTCGGTGTGTCACCGTTTTTAGTTTTTTTTCCCCCCGCAGTGTACCGCAGCCTCTTGTCCGATGATGAGACAAGACAGACAGGCTGATATCGACGGGGAGTGCCCACTTGACCCGTCGCGCCACATGGCCTGGCTCTCCGGACGGCCCCTGGCTCGGCCCCAGGCTCGGCCCCAGGCCTTGGGCCCCGCTTGACAGCCGCCTGCCTGGTGCCACTTGTACACGGCGGCAACATGGCGGTCCACCCAGAAAAAGAACCAAAATAATCCGGATTCGACTCATTTACGAAAATAAATAAAAAGTCAACAAAGTTCTGTTTCTAAAAAGTGGTTCAAACATACTGCGAAATTTTGCCCACAAAGCTGTCGAATTGATCTTGCTCTTTGCCGTGCCGGCGCGAGCCGTGTTGTGTCTGAGCCCGCGGACGTGCCTTTTGCCTTTGCCGCGGCCAAAACAATCCCCCGCTCTTGTTTTCCAAAGCAATCGGCCTCCCGGGCGTTAGTTATAACTCAATCAGTGCTGGCCATTGGCTCTGCACGCAGCAGTGGGCCTCATTAACGTCGTTTTCTTGTTTTCTTTTCCTTCTTTCTGTTCCCTTTGCGGTCCCCATTGCGTCATTGCGTTGACAATTTCGGTCCACGCATGACCAGTGTGGTGCTCTGAGATTGTTCGCCAAGTACCGACAAACGAGGGGAAGTAGTCCCGGCCGACAACTCGGTCCGCCACTTGCAAATCATTCCGTTGCAATCACGGTTCAACCACCAGGACGGCCCGTCTGTCTCTCTTGCACTCCTAGCGTTCCCTACAGGGCTGAGAGAGACGACAGAGAGCGAGACCGCTCCTCGGAATCAGTCTTCAGAAGACACACATGGGGTCAACCTCGTCCGACAAGTAAATAGGACGAGCAAGGAGAGACAGAGGAGGAGAGGGCGGGGCGACGGGGCGCGCGGGCGGACTTCTAGAAATAGCGGGTTGGATTAGACGCAGGAGTCAAATATTTGGCCAAAGTCCCGGGCAGCGACAGCACGTCGGCCACCACCCGCGAAGACCAGAGGGAAAGGCTATGGCGAGAGTATGTGAGTGAGTTTGTATGTGTGTGAGTGCGTGTGTGTGTGTGTGTGTGCGCGTGTGCGTGGGTGTCGTGTGTGTTAGATGCAACACGAACGCAGCCGAGAGGGGGATTAGGGGTGCATGACGCCTGGTCGGCACGAACGTGAAATAAGCGGGGGTGGGGCCTACGCCCGGCAAGGCAGCAAATAGTACAGCCCAAGGTTTACAAGAAAGAAAAAATACGAGAGAAAACAACCGGGGTTTTTAAAGACGGCGTGGAGGAAGGCGCGGACTATTTTTAAGGCACGGCGCCGCTTCTAATTTCAGTGACAATTCTATTCGGAGCTTTTCTTCGGTTTCAGATCAGACCACGGCGTGGCTGAGGATGCGCAGCTGCCTCCACGTGGGTTCCCTGGTACGAAAAACCAGTCCGCGACTACTGTGGTAAGTGGAAATTAAAACCAGGTTGTGATGCGCGGATCGCGGTTCGAATCTCGGCCCACTGTCGCTTTCACTGTCCCCCGTTTTTGTGTGTGCAGGGCGGCGCGGCGTGCGTGACAATGCACCATCGAAACCGAAAGTGCAAGTAAGAGTGAGAGACTAGTTTTTGCCGCACGGGCATTGTCCGTGCCGCTGGTTGGCTGCGTCCTCAAGATGGCGCGTGACGCAGAGAGGCTCTGGCGTGGCCGGCCCGACCGACCAGGCACCGCCCGGCCCGCCCGGCTGAGCTCCCGCGTCGCATGGAGGCAGCTCCGTTCAATGTAAGCGCAAATCGCATGCCGCTTCCACTCACAAAAAAACTCCGTGCGCATTTTTAAGAAAAATTATTCTGTTCTTCTCTTGTTATCAACAAGATAAATTTCAAATCACCCGCCCAAAAAAATGAAACGAGGAACAGTTGCCACAGATAATCTGATAAGAATGTACTCACTTGTGTTGCAGGGCTGGAGTCTCCAGGCCGCCTCTTGAACACGGCGCGTTCTGGCCGGAAGCACATCCCCGGAATCCACAATCGGCGGCCTCTTCCGGCGCACCGAGGGCACGGACACACGCACACACGCGAACGCGACGGACACGCGTGTAGCGACACGCGCGGCGGTACCCGCGGCACCCGCGTTTCGACCGGGTACTTTGGATGAGAGGGCCCTCCCTGCACTGCACTGCACCGCACTGCCAGGACTGAGGGACTGCTGACATGTGTGACGGGCAACACGTGGAGGCCCCCCTGTCGGCGCTGCACCGACCGCGGTGAAAGCTTGTTCAACCTGCAACAGAACCAAAAACGAGAAATACGGGTGAATAAGAGTGAGGCACTGGAAGAGGAACGTTAGGGAGGGGAGGGGGGCCGTCATGTCACAGGCCCGACACTTGACAGGGCCCGAGTCAACATGGCCTAATGGAGCCAACATTCCCATGCAAAACGTCCAGCCGAGTTCAAGGCCATGTCACGCCTATCCGGTTTCACGGCTTGTGTGGGAAGCGAGAAATGTCAGCACGCAGGTCGAAATAAAATTGGTGGCATTCCACGGCGAAGAGAAATGCTTATTTCATTTGGCACACTTCTTGCACTCCTTTTTTGCCCTTTTTGTTGTCCCTGGCAGCCTGCTGGAACGTCTCCAAACCCGAGCGTCGGTCCCTGATCGGACGGAGACACGCCAAGTACGGGACGCAACGATTCATTGATTAACGAAGACAGGTACTCTGTCAGCACGGTGCGAGGTCGGGCAGGGCGACACGACAAACGAGCAGACACCGGCCGAGCGATTATCCTTGCAACAGGTTCACCGTAACGACGCTGCTTAATTCGGCCTGCCCGGCTGTATATTAAGAGGTAAGCTTTTCGGTACACTGCGGGGGAAACGCAGCCGGACGCAGCGGGCGGGGAAAATGAGTACAGTCTTTGCAGGCCGCAAGTCGTCATCATGACGTAATGGGCCGTCCTAGCAGCAACTACCACAACAACAACAACAACAACAACAACAACAACAACAACACCAAGACCAGCAGCAGCAGAAAAACAACAACTAGATGGGAGCTTCTCCTCGCCCCCGCTGGGTGCGCTGCCATCGTCCATTAGCTCCGCGGGCTGCGTCCGAGGCGCTCCAGGCGGCTAATGCAGGCGGCGGGCTGGCCGGCCCCACGCACGCAGCCCTTCATTTAGCCGCCCCTCGCCCCCACCACCAAGGCCGTCCCCGGCGTCCCCGCGGTCACGTGGATAATGCCCCAGCATGCCGCGCGCAGACCACCAGAGTCAGTCGCGAGCACGGCGACGCGCGGACTTACCCGAGGACGCCGACGACGACGACAGCGAGACGCAGAGTGTCGAGCGGTACAGTCGCTGTCAAAATGGCGCGGCCGCCGAGCGCGGCGCGGCCGGGAGCTCGCGGCCGCGGTAGGACGAGGACGGCGCCGGCTGCGGACTGGCGTCCGGACGGGCGTCGGGGTGGCCGTCTGTACCCGCCGCGGATGGTGATGGTTCTGCGGGGAAGGCCGTGTGTCTATCTATGTATGTGGAGTACATCTTCTCCTCGCCGCGTTCGCCTGCTGCCCTCTACCCCACAGGGCCTCCACCGCTATACGGCCCGCTATACGCGCTCCTGGTCGTTCGCTTTCCGTTCCGCCCCCGCAATTTGTATGTCGTATCCTCTTCTATCGCGCACCCCACCGCGGCGACCGCGGCCGCCTCTCCCTTCCACGCCCCGGGTACTCAAATTTATACCTTAAAACCGCACACAACACACGCGCCCCGCAAAAACACACGCGGCGCGCGCGTGTGTGCGTGCCTTGAAACCTCTCATAGGATGCTAAATCGTAAAATAGGAAAACTCACAACTTTGGATGCGTTCTCGGTATAGGCTCCGGCGCCGTATATCCCCCGCGTTATGGCTCAACAAAACGGCGCTTACGCTAAGCCGCAGGGGTGGGGTGTCAGGGTAGGGATGAGTGTCCAGGTGGCTCCTCCCAAAGTCAGCCCGCCCCCCGCGGACCGCGCCGCCGCGCGCCCGTGACCCCTTCAACCCTTCACCTGCCTCTCTCACCTCCCCGCCCCGCCCCGCCCCGGCGAAGCGGGCAGGTGCGCGCCGACGCCATGCAAACACAATACGGCGTAAAAGCTGTGTGTGTGTGTGGGTGTGTGAGTGTGCGCGTCCACCCTCACCCCTTGTAGCAATCGCCCTCCGAGCGTGCAATGTCATGGCAGGGCGTCGCGGGGGCGTCGGTCAGCGGGAGACGACACATGGGGCGCCGGCGGCGACGTCGGGCACGTCACCCCGTGGTAGCCCTCGTCGGGAGAGGGGAAGCAAATTGCGACCCGGCAGACGAAAAAAAACAATGTTTGTTGTCGTGGCAAAACAAGACGGGTGGGCGTGCATGCAGGCAGGTGGGAGGTCAGATACGGTTGGAAAAACTAAAAAGAAATTCATGCTGGTAAGTTTGAGTTCGGCGTAATGGAAGAGGAAGATTACAGCGGCGGAGACCTCGACTTGCCAGAGTGCTGAAGCTGAAAGTGGGCGAGTGTTGTGCAAGAGAAGATGAATTCCATGAATAAATCAATCACGTGCACCCCTTCCACGCGCTGACGGATCATTTTATTTTTACTTTGAAAGAAGGAACCTGGGGCGGGTGCAAGGCAGGAGGAAACTGCCACAAGGAACTGGAGAAGAAGAGGAGACGGATAGGCAGGGGCAAAAATTGTCCCCAGAGCATAAAACAAAATAGCTGGCCTCCCACGAGACACACGGCACCGCGGCTCATACCTTTTTATAGAAATGTTCGCCAAAATGCGACACATGACACATAACCCCTTGATGCGGAGCCGCATTTCATATCCTGTTCATCCCCTTCGCCTCCCGCAGCCAATACGCTTTTTCTGCACCGCCAAAAACGGGAGGTGTCACTGCAAGAAGGAAGAATATCGTGACAATCTACTGAAAAGTTTTAATCTCAAAGTTTCGAATCAGTCCGAAAAGTGAGTGGCTCTGAGCAGAAGCTTCTTGCTCTGCTCCACACATCAGCCATTTCAGCAGTCCCAAGGCCAGCGGCCGCTGTCCCGAATCTCTGGAACGCCGCGACGCTGCTGCGATCTGCAGGGCGACAGCCAAACACTCAGGACACATGATGACTGCCGCCACCCCGGCCGCCGCCACCGCCTCGCAGCCTCCGAACCAACAACACCAAGAAAAAACAAGAGCCGGACCCGGGGCCGACGACGCGTTTCTGGCGGCTGCCGACAGAGCGCGCCACTGACACTCGCAGTGGGCCGCTCCTGCCTCAGCAACCTCAGCTAAGGCGCGGTGGGGACTGACGCGGTAGTAGCAGCAGCAGAGTGCCCGTCTGTCTGTCTGCCGCCCCCGGCCAGCGCGCGCGCCACCTAGCGGAAGACGGCCGAACTCCCTCCGATTTAATGAGCCCGGCGCACCGGTGCTGCTGCAGAGGCCACCTCCTCAACCAGGGGACTGATTCTGAAGCGCTCCTGGGCCTCCCCACAATATTCATGCAGTTCTATCTCCTGGTTCAATTTTGAAAATCTAGTACCGCTAGGCAGAGCCAGCACGTGAATTGACACAAAATAAAACATTCGCCAAATAAAACTTGATTCGATTTTTGCCGGCAGCCGGGCGCATTCAAACCAAACATCGCGAGCCAGGAACACATTATCAATGATAAGTTTTCTGTGGCGAGGCAGGCACCAATTCACTCCCTCACTCGCACAGCTCGCAAAGTTTCGGCGGGACGAGGACGCTAGCGAGTGGGGGTGCACCCGAACCCGTTCGGCCATCTCCGGCAGAGCCGACGCGGGACCCGAAGCGGGACCCGAAGCCTCCCCCCTCCCCCCGCCACCGCCCCGCCGGCGAGGACAGCCATGCGAGGCAACGTCCCCCTCCCCGCTGCCCCCACCAGCAGCGCCGCGCCGGCCGGCCGAGCGTGCGCGCGCAGCACGCCATGTTTGCGGCAGTCACGTGACCCCGCGCGGCCAACCAGGGTCGGCCAGGCGCAGCGCCGCGTCGCCAGCCGCGCTCACAGCGCAGACGCGCCGCCATGGAAGGCCAGCCGCCTCGACTTGAGCCTCGTTTGGTTGAAAAACTGGGGATTGTCACCGGTATTTGGAAGCAGGGGAGCGATGATATATTGCACAGACAGCAACACGTGAATTACCCTTATCAGGACTTCAGAAGACGGATCTATTTACTCTGTGTGTTTAATGGTGTGTTTTCTTTTGACATTGCATTTTCATGTTTTGTCAAACACCACAAAGCTCTGACATGATACTTTACTTGACAAATATTTCGACTTTACAACCCATTTCCACATTAAAACAAATCGTAGCTTGCACCTAAGCTCCTCCAGCATTTAAATAAGCTCAAGAATGATTAGCATCAGCTGCTGATCATGTTAATATGCTAAAAATGCAAAAACGTACACCTCTTAAACTACTAAACAACGCAAGTGAGCGCGGTAAAATCTAAACCTTGACATTTCAGAACGCAGGCCGGAACATCGAGGCAAGCAAAACATTCATTGACAATTGCCGGAATAAGTGACATTATTTGAATCAGAAATAAATTCTTTTGCATGGTGCAATCACCTGTTGCCGCTCGTCAACCCACCACATCCCTCATCCCTCTCATTAGCAGAACCGGTCGGTGCGGCAAGGATGAGAAACTGAGAAGCAGTATGACATCGCCCACGGGCGCGGGCAATTTTTCATACCAACATTACAGATTAAATAAGCAGAAAGCGGTGCAAAGAAACACACCAGGGAGGCAACTATTGAGATATCGCGGTTCGGCGTATTGTAAAAAGAAAAACATCCAGTAAGAAGCCAACCGCTTAGGCCGGGGCCGATACCCGATAAAGGAGGAAGCAGTACGTACCCGTCACACACACTGATAGCATGAGGCTTCACTGGAACACACGCACTGGCCGTGCCCACAGACACACTCACACTCACGCACACAAACAACTGCCACCAGGGGCGGTTGTCACTCAAACACTCACACAGACACACACGCGCGCTCCGCCGCCACGGCCGCGGCCCACGAGCCTTGCTGTCAAACTGACCGTGGCGGCCAGACGAGATGGATTGCAGCGAGGAACAGATTTTCGTCGGCCGGGGGAAGGATGGGGAAGGATACGGACCGCAAGGGTAGCAGAGTAGCTCCGCGGCACGGCTAGCGCAGTGTGGTGGGTCCGAGAGAGCCGTCCCCATTGGACGGGAAGGTGTTAAGGACAACTTTACGATCCACCTCGGCGAGGGGAGAGTCTA